GCCGAGCCAGCGCGATGGTGACGAAACCACCACCGGTTCCGCATCTGCCTCTGCTTCTCGCTCCTTCTCATCCTTCTTTCATGGTGGGTTCAGGCTCCCCACGTCTGCAGAGCTGTTCTGATGGAAAGAAAGATGGTTTATGGGATGCGATCAGCAGGTAGCAGAGCACGAACTATTTTTTAATAAATGACATGCTTTAGCAACACCGTCTGGGCTGGTGGAGTAGCGAAAGCCGATGGATCAGCCCTTGCTGAGAAGGCAAAACCCACCCACCTAAAGAGGATGTTTCTCAAAATGGTTTTCTTCACCTTTTCTGTCTCAATGCATACGACTCGGACTTCAGCTCATATGTATGTAAATAACAATCAGAAACACTCAAACAAGAAGCTTCCAGTGCCCCAGCAGCTCATAATTTATGTTGATCACCTCCCTGCAAAACACCCGCACACCAAAAACCAGCCGGCTCCCCAGGGTACCAAAGCAGCCCAGCAGCTCCTGCATTTCTGGGAGAATACCTTTGATCATTCCTGCCCTTCTCAACCCCCAAGTATTGCAAAACCCATGTCTTCTGCTGCCTGCTCGAAGATGTTCATGTAGATCAGGCGATTTTGGAGAGAAAAAAGGCCAGGAGCACATCTGTTGGGGCACTTTGTTGGCCAAATCCTGCTCAGAGTCGCTCTGGACATGCTCCCTGGTAGATCGACAGAGTCTAGTAGAGTTGATCCAAACCGACAGATGCAAAAAGTCACATCTGCCGCTGGGTATGGAGCCCACAAACCTCAGCTCCTCCACACAATAAATCAGCCCGGTAAAGAAATGGTGCATTTTTCATCCGGCCTTTGCATCACTCACATACCTTGTGGACAGTGGGCTGAAGGAAGAAGAGTGTGGGAGCCTAAAATGACAATCCCCTCTTTCTTATTGGCAGCCCCACCTTTAATCCCATTATATTCATTCAGGTCTAATATCTGATCCGAACCTGTTTGTCAGCTTCAGGACAATCTGCCTTTACTGGGGTCAAGAAAGCATGAAGACAATCTCATTTTCTCATCGCACCCGGCCTTTGAATTGTATGCAAATAATCAAGGCAATAGATGTTCATGAATTTCAAGTGACATCCCAGGCAGATTCAGACCAACGTTTTCCAAAGAAAAGTAAGCCAACCTGTACCAACTGGGAATTTTGCACTGCAATGGGAAATTCTGTTTGGGTGACCCAACTCTCCCGGTTTGAGCCTGCCTGGCAGCATTTCTCCAGGGATAATCAGATATTTGGTCTTCTGTATTTGGTAGAACACGAAGCACCTGCTTAATTCTTCTTCCAGAGATGCCAGTGGGATTTTAGCTCGTACTTAATGGTTTTGTAGCAGTGGGGCACATGAATGTATTTCGAAGGGCATGTAGAGTCCTGTCCTGCAAATAAGTTTAAGCTCCAGTCATGCGCATAGCATGGAAAATGCCACCAGGATAGCAACATGCTGAAAACAAACCGAGCTCTTAAGTACAAAGAATACGCTAAACAACACAGTTCCATAAAGTCTGAAATGCCAGAAAATGTCACCACACCCTGTTGAATTCACTCTTTTTCCCAAGGACTCCAGGAAGTAAAATAAGGAGAATTTGTGGGAGTATTTTTCATGCTGGTTAAACCTTTGCTTTTGGCAACATTTTGAATGGAAAGGTTCAAAGGTCTTTAAAAGAAATCACAGCTGCAAAGAGCTAGAAACTCATGACTGATTACACCTTAATGTTAACATGCAAATAATACTGTTCCACAAAGCTGGGCACAGTGTTTTTCAGAAAACCTGCCTCTTTCATTGAAATGTCTTTTAGATCAAGATGAAAATGCATCTATCACATCATCAGCTGGCTGGAGACGTTGCACGGGCAGCCTCTGGGTGGGATGGAGTTGTCCTCTGGAGATGCCAATATCTCTAGAACGGAAGCTTAGGAAACCTGTTATAGACTCAATACTTAATACTAAATGGCCAAAATTTGAGGTGACATTTAAATATAGTGTCTCAAAGGAACATCATGGATCAGGACCTCTTTGCACTAGTCAGCTTAAAAAGTCGTCCTCTGCCTAACCAGTGGGAACAGGAAGAAAGGATAAATTAGAGCCCTGAAAGAGACGTCAGGCTTCATGAATATCACACCTGCACTCTGCCTTCAGGTGAAGAAGCCCTGTGAAATAGTTTTGTTCAGATTTATCCATTTTATTCTCACTTAAGTTAATTCAGAGGACTCTCCACTAAGCTGTGTACTAATCTACTGCGTAAGTAGCAAAGGGGTATCCGGAGAGCTATTTCTCTTTTTTTTTCCACCCTTTTTTCTTTCTTTTCTATTGATTTGCAGCTAGGAAATAAAATAATACACCTCTGCAAGCACACAGAGGCTTTGCACTCAGGCTGAGCTCTCCCTGCCAAAAATGAGGGAGTTAGATAACTCTTCTAGCTGAGCAGATTCGCACCAGCTCCAATAGGTGTGTTTGGGTGCAATCAGCGTTTAACGAGTCTCAATCAGACAGCTGGCTGCCCGGCATGTCAAAACCATAAAGGCACTAAATTGATCACTGGACTTCCATGCAACCAAGCCCAGATCCCCAGCGGGATAAAAAGGGCATCCCGCACTCCCTCCCATCAGCGCGCTGCACTCCGTTTGCTGCTCCTCGCCAGTGCCGGGCTGTTATCTCCTGCTGCAATGAACCGGCAAACATACAGCATGAGGGCAGGAGGTGGAGGCAGATCTTACAGCACTGCCTCAGCTATTATCCCAAGCGGCAACAGGGCTGGTTTTAGTCTGATGTCTGTGGCACGGTCTGGAGGAGGTGGAGGTGGTTTTGGAAGGCTCGGAGGAGGAGGTGGCGGTGGTGGTTTTGGCAGCAGGAGCCTCTACAACCTTGGTGGTAGCAAGAGGATATCCATCGGTGTTGGAAGCAGCTTCCGAGCTGCTTTTGGGAGTGGAGCTGGTGGTGGCTCTGGCCTGGGAGGTGGCAGTGGTGGTGGCTGTGGACTTGGTGGTGGTGGAGCTGGTGGCAGCCTTGGACTTGGTCTTGGTGGTGGAGGTGGTGGATATGGCTTCAGTGGAGGTGCTGGTGTGCTTGGCTTTGGTGGTGGACAGGGAGGTGGAGGAGGGTTTAGCTTTGGTGGAGTGGGGGGGCTGGGAGGATTCAGTGGAGGACTGGGTGGTGGCAGGAACTCGGGGGGATTTGGTGGTGGCCCTCCTGGAGTCAGTACAATCCAAGAAGTGACTGTCAACCAGAGTCTCCTGGCACCACTGAACCTGGAGATAGATCCAAACATCCATCAGGTGCGAAAAGATGAGAAGGAGCAAATCAAGACCCTCAACAACAAGTTTGCTTCTTTCATTGACAAGGTGAGACTTCATCAAGCGCTGTGGAATTGTGATAGAGAGGGAGTGAGACAGTCTTGTAGCTACAAAAGAACGACTTCATAGATCTACAGTCTATCGTGTATTTCCTATCTGCACATCTTCATTAAAGTAATCAAAAAGGACATCCTTCTAAACATTTACAAGGCAGAAAGCTAGACTAGAAACTAGTAATAAGAGGACTAGATACAGGTTTTGTGCCCGAGAAATAAGGTGTATTAGCTCAAATGGAGTAAGACAGTTTCAGGTCCAGATCTACCTGCTTAACCCAGCGCTCTCTGTGGGGAATCACAGCAGACGTGTTAGTCCTTATTGCCTGCAAGCTAAACTCCTTTTTATATTGACTCAACTTAAGTCCTTCCCTGGCTTTTACTTGGGTAAATATGTAGTATATATGAGCAAAACGAAAGGCAATTAACTACTTGTCTTTTAACCTGTAGTACTCAGATCTTAGCTTTAATGAAGGAAGATAAACATCTCTTACAAAGAAAGAAAAACCAAAGGATGTTAAAGAAAGCAAGTGATGAAAGAGCTGAACCCACATTTTCTAATGATTGCTCATTGGCTTGCTAAATTAAATTGTCTTTAAAGAGAACTGTCCACTGAGGGCTGATCTACTTAGCTAAAGGAAGGGCTAACACAGCCCTAGATAATCTGGAGGATATTCACAGCTGGATTTAATACTCTTGGTTTGGGATTTCCTTGGTTTGTGCTATGCATCAGTCCCAGATACTGATTACTGGCTACCAGCATGCTCGTAGGTGTTTTCTGCTAAGCCTCTTCTGCTTCCCAATGCTCAGGTTCGCTTCCTGGAGCAGCAGAACAAGGTGCTTGAGACCAAATGGACCCTCCTGCAGGATCAGGGTCAAAAAAACAACGCGGGCAAAAACAACCTGGACCCACTCTTTGAGGCTTACATCAACAACTTGAAACGACAGCTGGCCAACCTGCTCAACGAGAGAGGACGCATGGACGGGGAGCTGAAGAACATGCAAGACCTCGTTGAGGATTTCAAGAACAAGTGAGTGCCTGTTAGCAGCACATCTAGGCACCCTGGGGTGAAACGGGATGCAAATGGTTCAGTTTAGCATTAGGCAGTAGGATTCATCTCACTTAAATGTAGCTTTCTGAAAGTCAAACATCTAGCCTGAGATACTCATCAAACTTCCTACAGAAAAGGAGAAAAAAAAAAGTATCTCCAGTCTGTGCTCTAGCCCGTAACATAGTACCTAGCTAATTCCCCTCCAATATACCACTCCTGTGAGGTATCTCTCCTTGCAGAACTCCTCTCTTCCTCAACAGCAGCAGAAAGGTGGTCCATCGACATTTTTCCAACCAGAAAATGCAGATTCAGCCAGGACACAACAACTTGTGATGACACTGGCAAAGGAAAATAATCTAAACCAGCTTTACCCTCCTTTTTCCATCTTCCTTATGTCAAAATGTCATTTCAACCCTTTGAGAGATGGGATTCTCACAAATTTGAGCTGGGCAGTTTCCAGGAGGTTGGTCTGGAAATGCCATACCCAGCCCAGACAAGCGTGCAGTCCTACCTGTACAACTTTTCTGTTTACCAAGGTATGATCCAGCACGTCTTTCCTTTTATCCCTGCAGATATGAAGAGGAAATCAACCGACGCACAGCAGCGGAGAATGAATTTGTGGTGCTGAAGAAGGTGGGTGAGACAGGTGGTGTGAGGACGCTGAGCTAACCCTAACCATTGCACAGGCTGGAAGGATGGGAGAGCCCATGGAGCTGCATCCTCATGCTTTAAAAGCTGTCATTTGGATTGTGGTTTTGGGGGAAAGGAATGGCGGACTTTGAGGATGGAAGTAAATTCTTGTCCCACAACATAGACCCATGCTTGACTAGGCAAAACAGACCATGTAGAAACAAAGATGGTCAGTAGTGCTGGGAACCCCAGGTGCCAAGGCCAAATGGCCTGCACCCACCTCCTTAGGCACTAAGTTTCACACAGCACTTCTTTTGGCCAAGAGATGTCCTCTTGGTGCTCTTCCAGGGGGATGAGCCAAGCAGAGCTTCTCCAGCCAGGCAGCACCACGGCAGCAGTGAAAGGGGCAGCCCCATCCCCGGGCTTGGCCAGTCCTTGGCTGAGCTACAGAAGAGGCACCAGGTGCTGCAGATGTCCCCACGGTTGCTCTTTTCCAGGATGTGGATGCTGCTTATATGAATAAGGTGGAGCTGGAGGCCAAGGTGGATGCCCTGACGGACGAACTCAGTTTCCTCCGAGCCCTCTATGATGCGGTACAGACACCCTCCTCCCCTGATTTCTGGCTGCCTGTCACCCCCCGGACAGTGACTGCCATCATTCATGGCATTTGAAAAGGTAAGTGCAGCTGGCCGGGATCCTGTGTGCTTCCTCGCAGGAGCTGGCTCAGATCAGTGCACAAGCGTCCGACACCGCTGTCATTCTGTCAATGGACAACAACCGGGACCTGGACCTCAGCAGCATCATAGCTGAAGTCAAAGCTCAGTATGAAGACATTGCTAACAGGAGCCGGGCCGAGGCGGAGGCTTGGTACCAAACCAAGGTGAACAGACCCATAGATGCCATGGATGCATTTTTCTGGGGAAAATTACTGCTGTCGCTATACGGGAGCTGTTTGAGCCACATCTTGTCCACCTGGACATCTCAGACAGTTTACTCTTCCTTCTGAACCTCAGTTCGAGGAGCTGCAGGCCACGGCTGGGAAACATGGGGATGACCTGCGCAACACAAAGGGGGAAATCTCAGAGCTCAACCGGCTGATCCAGAGGATCCGGTCAGAGATAGAGAACATGAGGAACCAGGTAGGAATGGCAAAAGGAGCCTGCAGAACCCTGTTCTGTGGTCCCTCAGCACTGCATCTTTGCTTTGCTCATTGGGGACTTTAGCAGCCACAGAGTATGATATACCTCATTAAACACGCTGAATTCCCTCCTGAAAAGGGTACCACGCTGTAACACGGATTAGATCATTCTTGCCAGGCTGGCGTTTCAATGCCAGCAACATTAGCAATGAGTGGATGACCTCAGTCATAACTTTTTTCATTAACACCCCAACCACAATGGATTTCTTCCTTGGGTGGATTCTTACCCAAAAATAAAAGCAGCGTTTAGGAGTCCCAATCCCTCCTCTTGCAGTGTGCCACCCTGCAGACGGCCATCGGAGACTCCGAGGAACGTGGGGAGCTGGCCCTCAAAGATGCCAAGGCAAAGATGATTGACCTGGAGGATGCCCTGCAGAAAGCCAAAGCTGACATGGCCCGGCAGCTCCGTGAGTACCAGGAGCTCATGAACGTCAAGCTGGCCCTGGACATCGAGATCGCGACCTACAGGAAGCTGCTGGAGGGCGAGGAGAGCAGGTGGGAGTAAAATCCCTGCAGGAGTAATAGTGCCTATGGCTTTGCCCCTGCCAGCATTTGGTCCCCCTGCCTGTCTCCTTCATTTTGCTCTAACGTCCCCTTTATCTGCCCTCCAACAGGCTGAGTGGAGAGGGTCTCAACCCCATCAGCTACTGTAAGTATCGCAGTGCTTGTCTTGCTTTGGGCCCATTGGGAGCAGAGGCTGTGAGCAACCTTGGGAAAAGGGAGGTTTTGCCCAGTGCAAGATTCAGAGCCCTCCACCAGCATTAGTGGCTTGCACAGGGGACTGAAGTTGTGCTCGAGTCCTGTGGGTCAAGGTCCTGATGATGGTGCTTTCTGGAACTGGGTGACTGCCAAGCAGATGACCACCCCTCTGGTTGCTTTTTCTTGCAGCTGTCATCAGCTCCAGCTCTGGCATGGCTGGTGGAGCTGGGTTTGGAGGAGGATTTGGTGGACTGAGCCTAAGCGGAGGAGGTGGTGGAAGCAGTTTCGGTCTTGGAGGAGGCAGCGGAAGCGGTTTTGGTCTTGGAGGCGGCGGTGGTGGTGGAGGCTACAGCTTTGGAAGTGGAGGAGGACTTGGACTCGGTGGTGGTGGTGGTCTCGGAGGTGGATTTGGAGGAGGCAGTGGCCTCAGCATTGCAAGCAGTCTGGGCTACGGAGGCGGTGGCGGCAGTGGTCTGAGCACCAGTGGAGGAAATTTCAGCTCTGGAAGTGCAAAAGGCACCAACCCAGGTGTGAAAATTGTCTCCAAAACCTCCTCCAGCAAAAAGAGCATAAAAAGCCAAAGCCTGAAGAATGCTACACAGCCTGAGTAAAACCAACACCAGACCCTCCCCAAAACCATTGCTCCCGCATTACTCCTGTATCTCTCCTGCACACCACCCTCTCCTCCATCCACCTCTGTCCAGGCTCCTCGCTCCGTGTTTCTCAAGCATTTGGATCACAGTTCAAGAAAAGCATCGGAGCATGTGTTAACCAGATCTCTCAAAGTACCTGAAACGGGATTAAAAGGACAACATGGGCCTAAGTGATTTTCTGAATGGGGAATTGTTTTTTTTTTTTTTTTCATTTGCTTGCTTTTAATGAGGCTGAGCAGCTTGTTTGTAACTGTGGCTAGCTAACAGCCATCAGCTAAGACAGATCGAATAGCAGTGCAGACGCAATAACGTGGGTTTTTAGCTCAGTTCTGGCCGACAGAAGCCCAGGGATGGGCTGGGAACTTGGCTTCAATTCAGCCTGCTTTGCCTGCACTGCTGGGATGAACCAAACTCACTCCTTCAACTTAAGCAACTCATCTTTGTCAGAGATGTGGGATATTTTTCTGCTATGTAGAAATACCCCAGGAGGTTGCTGAAAGATCCCAGGCAGTGGTTTGCAAGCATGGGGCCCTTCTTAAAATATCCCTTATTATGGGAGCACAGAGCCCGTTAGGAGTCACTTCTGAGTCACTCGAGTGCGATGGAAAATCCCTCTTTTCCCCATTCACAGCTGAGCTTCGAAAAACATGTTTCTTCCAGATGTGCCCAGCACTGCAGCTGTGTGCAGTCAGGCACACAAGCCTGGCCAGTGGTTCAGAGCGTAGTAATAGGAGAACGATCTGAGATACCTCCATCTGAAAAGTTCCACCCACAGGGATGCAGATTCAACTTGGAATGAGCTTATCTAAAAGGAAGCCCAAACTACTATCCCATTCCTGTCCCTTCTCTTCTTAAATGATAGTTTGCCCATAGTGACATCTTGCATGTAATCTTGTGGCTGTGTTTTGTCAGAGGTGTATTTTGATGTGGCAAAACTGTCACATCATCAGTGACTGATCCAAAGCATACGGGCTTGTTTTCTAAATTATAGGATTTTTTTCATTCTAAATAATAACTGAGGCAGAAAGTTCTTCAAAAGCAAGATCGGTGTCTGCAGTTAAATTGGGTTGCTGTCCTGTCTCATGCTAGGTTTTGTTGGAACGGCTTAAAAAATGCCAAAATGATCCAACGGCTCAAGTCTCGCTGACTTTCCCCACTGTCTTGGTAGCAGCAGTTGAGGCAAAAGCCTGAGACAGTGAAAATTACATTGAAAAAACTGCCAGAAGGGCCACGTCCACACTGCTCCCGGGTGTATTTCAGCATCTCCACTATATGTGGGTTCCTCTGCCAAAAGACAGACATTTGGTAAACTGAAAAGTGCAGTCAGCTTTCAGCCCAGCACGTGGGAAATGAGGCAGTTGGGAGCAGGAGCACAAAGACACACCAGGGCCCAAAATCTGCTTTCCCCTTTCTGATGGCATTTACCCCTCTAGCCTTCCACCGTGCACTTTTATTTTTGTGAAAGTACCATTAAAAAAGAAAATTGCAGCTTTTTATACTTCAACGATAGTGATATGATGCTGTGTTTTCCTTCCTCTCTTTTTGGAACATGTCCAATAAAACTGGATTGTCATTTATTTGTTCCTACATCTTTTTATTCTAAAGCAGAACCAGTAGCACGAAATACTTAGAACCTTCAGCAGAGTGAGCTGGAGGGGTCTTCTGCTTTACTTGGGAGGAAAACTTTCAAAATTCTGATAAAATTATAATGAAATCTTGAAATCAGTTGTCTCAAAACAAACTGAAGAATCAGAGAAACGAGGAGGAGGAGGAGGGTGGGCATTTATCCATTAAGTGACAAGAAACATTAATCACCATTCATTTCTTAACCTATGACTGGGGTTAATGCAAAAGCCTTTCTTCCGTGGAAGGGAGGGTTTTGCACGGCTCTGCTAGCTTGGGCAAAACCCCAGTGTTTAATTTCTGCTTTCTTAAAAAGATGTAGCAAACCCAAACATATACAGGGCTCTGGGGGAGGATTTTATCAGGATGATCTTGCTTGAGGACGGGTTTCGGTGAGCTGGAGCAGAGACCGATGCAGGTATTTTGGTCAGCCCTCATTGCAAAAGAAGAATAAAAAGAAAAAAGGGGGGAAAAACCAACTCTCAGACAAACACCTTATTGCATTTCAAAGAGTCAGACGCTTCGCTCTTCCCTGACCTCTCAGCATCCCGGCTTTACATAACTCAGCGCAGCAAATGGGAAAGAGCAAGCAAGTACACGCCAGCCCAGCAGGTTTACGGGAGACGCTCGCAACCGCTTCAGCAAAACCTCACTGAGACCCAGATGCGCAGAAACACGGGAGCATCGACTCTCCCTTCACCCAGAAAATCAAAGGAGCCGCAGCAAGAAAGACCGAAGTCTGGGGACAAACCCCAGCTCTTCGGTCCCTGCTGTCGCAGAGGACGGTGCGGGCAGACAGGCCGAAAATTAGCGAAGGTTAAAAATAAACACTGAGTCACCTCGATTTCTGTGCTCGCCTGTGCGAATGCTGAATTACACAGCACGGGTGTGAGGAATTAAAACAGCTAATGACAACCTAACCTTAACTAACCTTAAAAGTTTTGGACGTCTGTCTTTCAGCCTGCGCTGAAAAAAAAGCGAGTAAGAGAGTGCAGAAGCGGTGCCCACAGGCAGCTGGGCTCCCGCAAACACCCCC